TCATTGTGTCGCCCGATCTTTGTTAGATGGGCTGCACAAAAAGTTTAGGGCGTCCTCGGCTTCTCTAGCTGATTTGCTACAGCTCACAATAAAACTGGTAAACTGCGAAATAGCCTTGAAACAGATGGGTTATGCGGCCGACCTGAACTCCCTGTCGACTGCGGCCCAGACAACCCTGCTCAAGCAACCCGTCAAACGACAACATTCATTCGTCACCGCTGTTTTTAAGACACCTGAATCCTGCCCTCTTTGTAGGGAACCGCACCCATTAACAGATTGCGTGAAGTTTGCGGAGTTTGATTGTAATAAACGCTGGGATGTGGCTAAGGGGTGTAAGGTGTGCTTCCGTTGCTTGAAGACTGGGCACATGACCAGAGCATGCAACACCGAACGCAAGTGTGGTGCAAATGAATGCAAGGCACGTCACCATTACTTGCCACACACCACGTCTGACGTTTCGCGTTCGGTGCAGGGCATCTGTAACGCTGCCAATGCACGTCAAGGATCAACAGCGTTGGGCTTGCTCCCGGTCCGCATTAAAGGACCTTTAGGCGAGCTCGTTGTCTACGCGTTGTTAGACAATGGCTCCGATACTACCCTGGTGAGCCACGACGTGTTGCAAAAACTGGGCATCCCGCCACATTCATCACAATTGACTATCAAGACCATAAGTGGTACCTGGCTATCCGAATCGTGCGTGGAGAACTTGGAAATCGGATCATTGTTAGACAGCATATGGGTCAATATCGAGAAAGCGTTCGTTGTGCCTAGTATTATGCTTTCCGTTAACGTCGAATCTCGTGTAGCACTGGCAAGGCGCTATGCGCATTTGGACGACTTGCCTATCACCGACGTACCACGCGTGTGTCGAAATTTTGATAGGATGTGACGTACTGGACGCACACTTGGTACTGGACCAGCGGCTTGGTGCACGTAAACAGCCGTTTGGATTGAAAACGCCCCTCGGATGGATTATCTTGGGCCCAACAGGGGGTAAACAGCGGTATCACCTTTCTGTAAATTGCCTATCTCGGGAAGATCCAAACATCCTGCAACAACTGAATCGGCTATACAATGACGAGTTTGCAGATGTTAACTCGCTTAATTTGGCCTTGTCTCCCGAAGATAAGCGCGTTCTGGAGTTCGTACAAACAAAGGTTCGTGTGATTGATAGTCAGTTCGTTATCCCATTGCCATGGAAAGACGATATCAATTGTGCCAGTTCCAACCTGCAGATGGCAACCATGCGACTGCAGAGTTTGAAAAGGCGCTTCTTGAAGGATGCGACCTATTTCCAGCAGTATAGCGCCGTGATAGAACGCAACTTTAAGATGGGATACGCTTCGCCAGTGCCGGCACATCAGTTGAGTCCCGAGTTCCGTCCTCGGTGGTATCTACCTCATCACTCTGTCGTCAATCCGAAGAAGCCTGGGAAGTTGAGGGTGGTGTTTGATTGTGCAGCGCAATTCAACAAGAAATCTCTACATGACTACCTCTATCAAGGTCCAGATTGGACAGCCGGCTCGATAGCAGTGCTCTTGCGTTTCCGCAAGGAGCGCGTAGCACTTTCAGCTGACAGAAGAGATGTTTATGCATGTTCGCATTCCGGAAAACAATAGAGGCGCTTTCCGGTTCCTATGGTGGCCGGGTAGCGATATTTCAATGGAGCCGGTGGAGTTCCAAATGAACGCGCACGTGTTTGGAGCGAAATCTTCGCCATTCTGCGCCAACTTTGCTCTGCAGCAAACTGTGGAGCTATTTGGAAATGAATATGCTCTTATAGTCTCCGAGGCGATTCGTAATAATTTCTACGTAGACGACTGTTTGTTGTCCGTCCCATCCATTGATGCCGCCAGAATGATAAGCACTCAGCTGACTGAA